ATATATATAGAAATTTTCTAATTTTCTTAATTTTTTCTTTCATAAGAGCCTTCTCCTGACAATAACAAACACAACAAAAAAAGAATTAGCGAAATCGGTCCAACCGTTCACGCGTGATGCCGTGACCAAGGGAAATAGAGATTCATTTTTATCTACATAGAAATTTCCTAGTTTTCCGCGCAATTTTCTTAATTTTTTCTTTCATAAGAACCTTCCCCTGACAATAACAAACACAACAAAAAAGAATTAGCGAAATCGGTTCAGCCGTTCACGCGTGATGCCGTGACCAAGGGAAATAGAGGTTCATTTTTATATACATAGAAATTTTCTAATTTTCCGCGCAATTTTCTTAATTTTTTCTTTCATAAGAACCTTCCCCTGACAATAACAAACACAACAAAAAAGAATTAGCGAAATCGGTTCAGCCGTTCACGCGTGATGCCGTGACCAAGGGAAATAGGGATTCATTTTTATATACATAGAAATTTTCTAATTTTCCGCGCAATTTTCTTAATTTTTTCTTTCATAAGAGCCTTCTCCTGACAATAACAAACACAACAAAAAAAAAAATTAGCGAAATCGGTCCAGCCGTTCACGCGTGATGCCGTGACCAAGGGAAATAGGGATTAATTTTTATATATATAGAAATTTTCTAATTTTCCGCGCAATTTTCTTGATTTTTTCTGTCATAAGAACCTTCTTCTGACAATAACAAACACAACAAAAAAGAATTAGGGAAACCGGTCCAGCCGTTCACGCGTGGTGCCGTGACCAAGGGAAATAGGGATTCATTTTTATATACATAGAAATTTTCTAATTTTCCGCGCAATTTTCTTAATTTTTTCTGTCACAAGAGCCTTCTCCTGACAATAACAAACATAACAAAAAAAGAATTAGCGAAATCGGTCCAGCCGTTCACGCGTGATGCCGTGACCAAGAGAAATAGAGATTCATTTTTATATACATAGAAATTTTCTAATTTTCTGAGCAATTTTCTTAATTTTTTCTTTCATAAGAACCTTCCCCTGACAATAACAAATACAACAAAAAAGAATTAGCGAAATCGGTTTAGCCGTTCACGCGTGATGCCGTGACCAAGGGAAATAGGGATTAATTTTTATATATATAGAAATTTTCTAATTTTCCGCGCAATTTTCTTGATTTTTTCTTTCATAAGAACCTTCCCCTGACAATAACAAACACAACAAAAAAGAATTAGCGAAATCGGTTCAGCCGTTCACGCGTGATGCCGTGACCAAGGGAAATAGGGATTCATTTTTATATACATAGAAATTTTCTAATTTTCCGCGCAATTTTCTTAATTTTTTCTGTCACAAGAGCCTTCTCCTGACAATAACAAACATAACAAAAAAAGAATTAACGAAATCGGTCCAGCCGTTCACGCGTGATGCCGTGACCAAGAGAAATAGAGATTCATTTTTATATACATAGAAATTTTCTAATTTTCTGAGCAGTTTTCTTAATTTTTTCTTTCATAAGAACCTTCCCCTGACAATAACAAACACAACAAAAAAGAATTAGCGAAATCGGTTTAGCCGTTCACGCGTGATGCCGTGACCAAGGGAAATAGGGATTAATTTTTATATATATAGAAATTTTCTAATTTTCTTAATTTTTTCTTTCATAAGAGCCTTCTCCTGACAATAACAAACACAACAAAAAAAGAATTAGCGAAATCGGTCCAACCGTTCACGCGTGATGCCGTGACCAAGGGAAATAGAGATTCATTTTTATCTACATAGAAATTTCCTAGTTTTCCGCGCAATTTTCTTAATTTTTTCTTTCATAAGAACCTTCCCCTGACAATAACAAACACAACAAAAAAGAATTAGCGAAATCGGTTCAGCCGTTCACGCGTGATGCCGTGACCAAGGGAAATAGAGGTTCATTTTTATATACATAGAAATTTTCTAATTTTCCGCGCAATTTTCTTAATTTTTTCTTTCATAAGAACCTTCCCCTGACAATAACAAACACAACAAAAAAGAATTAGCGAAATCGGTTCAGCCGTTCACGCGTGATGCCGTGACCAAGGGAAATAGGGATTCATTTTTATATACATAGAAATTTTCTAATTTTCCGCGCAATTTTCTTAATTTTTTCTTTCATAAGAGCCTTCTCCTGACAATAACAAACACAACAAAAAAAAAAATTAGCGAAATCGGTCCAGCCGTTCACGCGTGATGCCGTGACCAAGGGAAATAGGGATTAATTTTTATATATATAGAAATTTTCTAATTTTCCGCGCAATTTTCTTGATTTTTTCTGTCATAAGAACCTTCTTCTGACAATAACAAACACAACAAAAAAGAATTAGGGAAACCGGTCCAGCCGTTCACGCGTGGTGCCGTGACCAAGGGAAATAGGGATTCATTTTTATATACATAGAAATTTTCTAATTTTCCGCGCAATTTTCTTAATTTTTTCTGTCACAAGAGCCTTCTCCTGACAATAACAAACATAACAAAAAAAGAATTAGCGAAATCGGTCCAGCCGTTCACGCGTGATGCCGTGACCAAGAGAAATAGAGATTCATTTTTATATACATAGAAATTTTCTAATTTTCTGAGCAATTTTCTTAATTTTTTCTTTCATAAGAACCTTCCCCTGACAATAACAAATACAACAAAAAAGAATTAGCGAAATCGGTTTAGCCGTTCACGCGTGATGCCGTGACCAAGGGAAATAGGGATTAATTTTTATATATATAGAAATTTTCTAATTTTCCGCGCAATTTTCTTAATTTTTTCTTTCATAAGAGCCTTCTCCTGACAATAACAAACACAACAAAAAAAGAATTAGCGAAATCGGTCCAACCGTTCACGCGTGATGCCGTGACCAAGGGAAATAGAGATTCATTTTTATCTACATAGAAATTTCCTAGTTTTCCGCGCAATTTTCTTAATTTTTTCTTTCATAAGAACCTTCCCCTGACAATAACAAACACAACAAAAAAGAATTAGCGAAATCGGTTCAGCCGTTCACGCGTGATGCCGTGACCAAGGGAAATAGAGATTCATTTTTATATACATAGAAATTTTCTAATTTTCCGCGCAATTTTCTTAATTTTTTCTTTCATAAGAACCTTCCCCTGACAATAACAAACACAACAAAAAAGAATTAGCGAAATCGGTTCAGCCGTTCACGCGTGATGCCGTGACCAAGGGAAATAGGGATTCATTTTTATATACATAGAAATTTTCTAATTTTCCGCGCAATTTTCTTAATTTTTTCTTTCATAAGAGCCTTCTCCTGACAATAACAAACACAACAAAAAAAGAATTAGCGAAATCGGTCCAGCCGTTCACGCGTGATGCCGTGACCAAGGGAAATAGAGATTCATTTTTATATACATAGAAATTTTCTAATTTTCCGCGCAATTTTCTTGATTTTTTCTGTCATAAGATCTTTCTCCTGACAATAAGAAACACAACAAAAAAAGAATTAGCGAAATCGGTCCAGCCGTTCACGCGTAATGCCGTGACCAAGGGAAATAGAGATTCATTTTTATCTACATAGAAATTTTCTAATTTTCCGCGCAATTTTCTTGATTTTTTCTGTCATAAGATCTTTCTCCTGACAATAACAAACACAACAAAAAAAGAATTAGCGAAATCGGTCCAGCCGTTCACGCGTGATGCCGTGACCAAGGGAAATAGAGATTCATTTTTATATACATAGAAATTTTCTAATTTTCCGCGCAATTTTCTTAATTTTTTCTTTCATAAGAACCTTCCCCTGATAATAAAAAACACAACAAAAAAGAATTAGCGAAATCGGTTCAGCCGTTCACGCGTGATGCCGTGACCAAGGGAAATAGGGATTAATTTTTATATACATAGAAATTTTCTAATTTTCCGCGCAATTTTCTTAATTTTTTCTTTCATAAGAACCTTCCCTTGACAATAACAAACACAACAAAAAAGAATTAGCGAAATCGGTTCAGCCGTTCACGCGTGATGCCGTGACCAAGGGAAATAGGGATTAATTTTTATATATATAGAAATTTTCTAATTTTCCGCGCAATTTTCTTGATTTTTTCTATCATAAGATCTTTCTCCTGACAATAACAAACACAACAAAAAAAAGAATTAGCGAAATCGGTCCAGCCGTTCACGCGTGATGCCGTGACCAAGGGAAGCTGTTTTTAGGGTTTTCCCGGAAATTATTCGAATTTTTCTCGCCGTAAAAACCATCCTTGAACTTCAACGAACTATAAATAAAAAGAATTGGTAAAATAGGTCCAGGTGTTGTTGAGTTATGCGCTTACCAACACATTTTGCGATTCATGTTTATATTATAGAAGATTAGTTCATAAATAACGGCCACTTTACTACTCAAGCTTGCCCATGTACAAAATTTTGCCCCTTAAACCTGGCCATATAAAAATGTTTGGGCCCTCTGACCCTTCAGCTTGAAATATTTATCATATTTATCCCTTAAGCCTTCCTATGTAAAAATAATGTTTGGGCTCTTTATCTTTTTATTCCTAAAATCAAATTCAGACATGAGTTCCATTCTGAAGTTCATTAAATGTCATGCAAAAATCGTCACCATCCAATATCTTATTAGAGTAAGATCCAAATTTATTTTATCTTTAAATTATTATTTTCACTGATTACTTTAACTGTAAATAAAAAATAAATCAAATAAAATCTTTTAAAGACCGTTAAATTTTTTTTTAAATAATCTATTTGACATTTAACAGCTATATAGAAAAAATATTTGGACATAATTAACAATATATCCATTCTATAATTTGCCTAGTTACTGGGGTTTTGGTTATGACGGCAGAACACTTTAAATCAATACCACAATATTTTTTTTTATTTATTTAACAATTTTTTTAATCTACTGTAATATTATTGTTTCCAAAAACTTGTTTTGTATAGTACATTTTTATATACAATACTTATTTTATATAATGCAAATCTTTATCTTTTAATTTTACAAAATTTAAAATATATTTATTCTTGCAGGTAATTTTAGACAAACTAAATGGTATAGAAAGAAGTTCAAGAAATCTAGAAAATATATTATCAAATCAGAAAATAGAAAACGTTTCTAACCACCAAGTTTTCAAAGAAGTTCAAAAATTGTCTAAATCCTTATCAACCATTGTAGGAAAAATACAAAATTTTACAAGATATTTCAATGATCAACAAAATGACTCCATCAGTAAGTTGGAGAACATCATTAAGAAAAATATAATAATAACAACATCTACAACTTTACCTGTAATGCCTCCATTAACAAAACCAGTAGTTAATGAAACTATGAGACAAGCCATTAAAAATGTATTTGGCAACAATCCATATCATTTAAATCAAACTATTCAAAATCAAAAGAAAAATTGTACTCAAAATTACCGAAATCTGATAGACATAAGAGCTGATGCTAGTGAAGATTGTGTAGAAACACCTGAAAAACGAAAACCAACCAAAAAGCCAAGACGCAGAAAATTGAAATATGATATAGATATAAGAGGTGATATTAATTCAAGAATGATTGATGAAGATGATGACTATGAAGATAGTGCAACCGAGGGTGCTACAGTAACAACAGAAACAACAACCACAACCGATAATTTAACTGAAGAAAATAAAACAGTAACAACTACAACAGAAGAAAATGACAATACAAATTTATAGTGGCACTAATAATATAAAATATTCAAAGAGCATTTATTTTATATATAATTTTAGAATTTGCTACTTAATTATTGGTCATTAAATATTTAAAACAGTTTTAAATTATTGTTGAAAATAAAAATAGGTATTATTTTTGTTAATTGGTTAAATGTGGTTTAACATTATAATAATATTGAAGGTAGTTAAACAGTAAATAAGTATTTTTAAGGACCAAATTCCACTTATCTTCAATATTATTCAAATTTATTGAAATAAATACAAATAAATTAAAAAGAAAAACATATTTCTTCATATGCTGTGAATGTTCAATCTTTGAACACTTTTTGGATTCCATTTGATAGAAAATGTGCCCAGTTAATATTTTATTACACCAAATGTATATTAAACTATAAGAACTAATCTTTTTTATAATGTATTTAGCTGTGACTGTATATAAGTTTATTTTGTTTACTTTATACTAACAATTTTGTTTTAATAAACAGTATTATTGCATTTATGATGACTTTTGCTTATAAAACTTATGAGTATTAAATACAATATTAATTGAAAATTGAATAATTCATTCAATATTTAAATTATTTTATTAATTTTGCATAATGATAACAAAATTTTTAAAAATTCTGACAATCTGAAAAATATAAAATGTAATTTCATAATTATGTTGTGGATTGTTAATACTAATTTAGGTAATACAAATATTGCTTGAAGGGGTAATTAACTGTTTGATTCTTTTATATAATCAATATTTTTTACATAATTGACACATTATCTACAAGGACTTACCTCAACTTTTGCACTATTCTGAAAAATAGTTTGAGCTTTATGTGTTAGCTGTGCAAAACAGGAACTCAGCGTGCATATCTTTTGACGAACATTATATACCAAGTCAGGATCTTCGGATTCCAATTCACCTAAAATTAATTTAGAATTGAATAAACAAGTATTGTAAAATTGTACAAATTTATGCAATAAACATTTTCGTCCGCTTAAGTAATTGAATTAAAAATGAGATTATAAAGAAGTAAGTGATAGAATACTTACTAATGCTTAAATCTAAGTCTACAAAGGCTTTGTCAAACTCTTTTTCTAGTATGTCTAGCCATCTGAACCCGACACTAGCCATTTTTTATAATCACACTTGAAAAAAAAACTGCCACCATTTATAAATTTAATGAAACGTCAAATGAAGTTAACAATTAATTCTTCTTTTTTGCAAAGTAATTTAAGCGGAACCTTAACTTTGTACCAAAACAGGCATTTTAGATTTTAAGACTAGAGAATGTTTATGGAGTTATAAATTATTTAGTTTATGAAATATATTAATTATTTATTCTTTTTTGCGTCGTTAAAAAATTATAATCAAGAAAAATATGTTTTTCAAAAATATCGTGGTTACTTACACAGTAAGAGATTAGAAATAGAAGAATATTATAAAAAGACGAAAGTGACAGATGACAGTGACATTTGATAAAGGTGTCAAAATTTTAGTATGTCGTATGATGATTTAAAAAAAATTAATTTCCTATTTTCTCTACAATGGCAACCCTAATTAAAGATGTTACTTTGCAAGAAAACATTCCAACAAATATACTTTTCGAAAAACATATTGATTTTATTAAAGAATATGGCCAAAAAGAAAGTAGCTTCGAATATGGTATGACTGATTATTTAAGGGTTTCTGGTATGTACTGGGGCCTAACAGCTTTAGAATTAATGAATGCCTCACCGCCACATAGCATAGAAGAGGTAAGATTTTTCGTCGTACACGAATTTTACTTTGAATTATTCATACAACTACTTTCAGATTTTAGAGTACATAAAAAAGTGTCAAGATGCCGAAACTGGTGGAATAAGTGCATGTGTTAACCACGACCCTCATATTCTTCACACCTTAAGTGCAGTTCAAATTCTTTGTATCTACGACAGTCTAAAAGCCATTGATGTGGAAGGAGTTGTGAAATATATAAAAAAATTACAGTTGCCTGATGGTAGTTTTATGGGTGATAAATGGGGCGAAATAGATACCAGATTCTCGTTTTGTGCTGTTGCAACATTGTCATTATTAAATAGAATGGATGCTATCGATGTTAACAAGGCTGTTGATTTTGTAGCTTCATGTAAAAATTTTGATGGTGGTTTTGGTTCAAGACCACTTTCTGAAAGCCATGCGGGATTAATTTATTGCTGTGTTGGATTTCTATCTGTTACAAATAGGTGAGAAAATATTTATTAGCAGTAAATGGGTATAATATATATTTTTATTTTAGGTTAGATATTGTAGATCGTGATACCCTTGCTTGGTGGTTATGTGAGAGACAATTACCCTCTGGTGGTTTGAATGGTCGTCCAGAAAAATTACCAGATGTTTGCTATTCATGGTGGGTGTTATCATCTCTAACAATCTTAGGAAGATTACATTGGATTGATGGCAATGCTTTGAAAAAATTTGTCTTGGCTTGTCAGGACACTGAAACTGGGGGTTTTGCTGATCGACCTGGAGATATTCCTGATCCTTTTCATACTTTATTTGGTATTACAGCACTTTCTTTGTTAGGCCATGATACTGTTCAAAAAGTTAATCCCACATATTGTATGCCACAGCAAGTTATTGATAGACTACAACTGAAGCCTCAAGTATTAGGAGACTAAACTAAATGTATTTTTGTATTGTATTTTTTTTATAAAATTTTAGATTAAGTAAAAACCATATTTTGTCTTGTTTTGTATATATTCTTACATACCAAAAAATAAATGTTTATTAGTCAATAAAATTCTAATTTATACACATTGTATCTTAATTATTATGGACTGGCCAGTAATGACAGATTTTTGCAACGTTTTTTTTATGTATGCATCTTAAGTTATGATTATTATTGGTTTTTACAATGTCTTAGCTCACATCCCCAACTAGCCATTCATAAAAGTGTATTTGTTGTGAAGTTCTCATCATCATCTATTGTATAGTCCAGGAGACAGTGACGATTTTCGGTATTTATTTCCCCAGTCAGCAAGCACGAATAGAGAATTGTAGGATTAGCAATTCTAAGCAAAATTCATATATATTTAGAGGGGGGATCCAAAGGGCTGAGGCCGAAAATGCGTCAAAACATACGAGAACACGGCCCTTTTTTTCCATTGATAAAAATAGTTTTAGTAGTAAGAGATGTACTGAAGTTAAGTAAAAAAATAGTCTGATTAATCTGTATGGATAATAATATTTGGCAAGTGCATAAAATACACTTTCAAACGAGTTATGTACACAATTATTTCTACGATCACAATTATTTAAAGGTGTTTTGTATAATAAAGTGTACGCATAGGACACATAAATAAAATCTTATATCACAATGTTTCACCTAACCAGTTGGTTTATTTATAGAAATTAAACATAATAATTGAAGATATTATAGAAGAAAATAGGGAAATAAATTACATTTCCTTTTACACTTTTATATAATTGTTTTATTTAGAATTCATAGTGAACTGTGTAGGCGAGTTCGGATAGTCAGGGGCTGGAGCGGGACAAATTTTAGGGTGCTTTTAAATGACATTTAAGCGTGTTAAACTGTCACTAATCGGGCTAAACCGAACGCTAAAAGGGTCGTTTGGAGTTAAAAGTGTTAAAGGAACTTGGCAGACCGAACGCAATGTATGGAACGCCAATATCGTTGGATGCGCGTGGTAGAAATGGTCCTATAATACTGCTAAAAACAGCTAAATTTTCATGGAAACACTGTACTTTTGGCATTTGCGATACTCCGACGCATATGCATTATTGATGTAATCTCATGATTTTACAGTAATAGTTTTTGCAATTTTAGTGTGATTTTTAGGTTATTATGGTTATTCATTTTATTTGGTTCTGATCTTTTGCGCTTTTAGAGTATTTGTCTTTTATATAGTTTTTAATTTGAATTTTAATATTGTGGTCTATTTATATTTGATTGCTGCTTTTCGACTAGTGCTTTATTCTTTTTGTGTTAAAATAAGCTTTATAACCATTAAGTACATGCTTCTAGTTGATATCTACCTAATCGTCATTGGGTGCTTGCAACAATGGGAAAAAGTGTATGGTTTTTTTGGTGTAAAGTTAGACGCCTTCATTTTTCAGGTAAGTTATTTGTAGTTATTTTTTACTTAAAAGGATAGCAATACGTCCTGGTTCGGGGTGTGACTTTTGGGTTTTAGCTATCTGAGCCAAATTGTCGGCTAAGTGTCCTCTTTTAGGGCACCCATAACCGAAAACTATATAGGTATATATTATGTTTTTTTTTTAATTATTTTTTAATATGTATGCAGCTTGGATGAGGGCTTTAGGAAGAGATCCTAAGACTGAACACTGACTGCTATAAATGCCGTTTTTAGAGCACATTTCATAGTAAGTGATTTCATTCTAGCAGCAATGAGGAAACGTTTAAAAAACATGCTGTACCAGCTATTACTTTAAGACCTCGTCTCTTTAAGTTATTATTACTTCATTCTAATGCATATATTAAAATGGTTTTTAACTTATGTCCTTATGATTAAAAGATGTAGGTATTTTAGTTATGTTATAATAGAAATATATGATACTTTGTATTGACTGACCTACTGGCCACTATGGTCATTCCACTTTTACTCCCTGTTTTCATAAATTATCAAATTATTTAAAAACAAATACATACATATTTTCTGTAAATTACATTAAAATTTTAGTATTAATACTTTACTAATAAAACTTCAGTTAATTTATCTTATATATATATACACAACGGAAGAGTTAATTGGATTTTCTCCTTGTTGAGTTTTAAAAATAGTAATTTAACATGATTTAAAAACAAATACATGAAATGGGCAAAATAGGCCTGCAAAGGCACTTTGTAAACAATCTCACTTGTATCGATGTGACGTAATGCGCGAATTCAATCTGGCTTACTTTTGTTAATAGATTGGCGTTCCATTTTAAATATACAGTTCACCGGGAATAGATTATTTAAATATACACGGACCGGGAAAATAAGTACGAAAAAATTTACTGGCTCCTGGACTAGTACTGTATCGAAGGAATTTTTATGAATGAAACAATATACGACCCTCCACAATTGCGGTCTACTCTACTTCCGCTGTTGTCAGACATTATTTTTTTTTTGGACAATTTAAAGACCTAACAGTAATTCAAGCAAACGCAATAACATTACTACAGTTAAAAACATCGCAAACTTGGTATTAATATTTTATAATTTTATCCAAATATTGCATTTCTGTCGAGGATCATCCGCGTTGACTTCAGAAATTGTGTAATCTGTATTGGTTATATATATCTATAGTTAAAAGCACGTCAACTTGGCATCAATGTTCAATCCGATTATTGAGTTTCTACAAAATTTTTGTAAATAATCCTATCTGTCTTGGTTATATATCTATGGTCTTAGCCAATTATCTAAGAGTGTTCGCAAGCAGTGGCGTCACAAAGAAAATTTCAATACTGAAAGAGGCATTTTCTTGGCTTATTTTGATTAAAATCTCAAAATAAATAAGATACTTGGAGAAATGGATAGATAATCTATTTTGTTTGTAGATTTGCTATTTTTCTGACGTGCTGAAAAATTTTCATTTATTTTTCCAACATAATTTTTCCATTTAGGTAATTTAGCTCTCCTGTAAATTGAAAATTTTTGTAAAATGTTTCTTTTGTTTTCAAGTGCCATATTAACAATTGACAATCTAGAATCGTATATTTGTAAGGTAATATTTGCCAATTTGTAACAAAATGTAAGAGAAAATTGGAATAATTAAAGACAAATTTACCCTGTGAAATTGAAAATTGTTGGAAAAATGGTTTAAATGAACATATAGTCAATATAATCGGTAAATATGACAACAAGTTACCCTTAACACTTGCACAAATGTCTTTTTTATATCAAAAAACAAACAAGTTATCCGAAAATATACAACATCGAACCGCCGTTGGCCAAATATTCGAAAAAGAATGAGGTATGATACATATTTATTTATCTAAATTACTCATGCATTCTTGTATACCGACCCAACAGAAATTTAAAATATACGGGGTAGTACATTTTTAACGAAAATAAAATACGTTTTACAAACTGAAAATAATAGGGTTTACTGTGGGTGGGTTAGGACAGTAGTAGTGCCCAATTATTTGTAAGCCCGATAAAATATAAATTTTCAAAATTTTATTACCTTCCCCAAATATAATAAATTGAATAATGTCTTTTCCATTCTAGTAGAGTTTTAATATTCAGGATGTTCCTAAATACCAGAAAGAGGTAATTTGTTGGCCTATTTTTAATGAATCAAACGACTTACCTGAAGGAAGTTCGATCCTAATTATGCGAGCATCCTTGTTAGTGGAAATAAAGATAACCATGTAGTATACCTATGTTACGCCGCTGACCCACATGTTCAGATTTAAAATTTTACGTCACTCTCTATCGCTGCTTGTCTAAATTACTCATTACCTGTTGTGGAGCTTGGGGTTAAAAATAATATAAATATGGTGGAGGTGGGACTTTATTTTCACTAACAAGGATGCTCGCATAATTAGGATCGAACTTCCTTCAGGTAAGTCGTTTGATCCATTAATTATGCTCAGAGTTAACACATAAAGTAGCCTCCTCTGTACATGTCTTTGTCTATAATGCAGAATTTACATATAAAGTAGTATCTGCCCTCATCAAAGTTTTGCGAAATTTGCACATTACTCGTAATAAGTAGCATTTTTCGTTTTGCAGACGGATTTTATGAATGACTCCACCGTTAACACATAAAGTAGTATCTTCTGTATATCTATTTGTCGTCTGAATGCAGAAATTTACACAAAATAGTATCTTCTGCAAGCTAAAAATCATTTAAATAAAAAGAAAAACATTATTGCTCTGAATTCCTTCATTTCTTTTTCAATTTCTAATACGATTTACGTTTTCGATAGTTTTTACCCATGTTTTTATAATCGCTGGAATGTGGTCAGTATAACGATGTGAATCAGGCGACACAACAATTGGTAATGAGTAATGTAGGCAAGCAGCGGTAGAGAGTGACTTAAAATTTTAAATCTGAACATGTGGGTCAGTGGCGTATAGGTATACTACATGGTTTTCTTTATTTCCACTAACAAGGATGTGAAGCATAATTATTACAATTGTCTTTACATAAACAAAAAGAGGGTTGCGTACAGAGATATTCTATGAAATGGATGAGGTACCTCTCAACTTCGACCAAACGGAAAGCGGTAGAACAGCCTTAAAATTAGAATTTTTCGCCGATTTCCCCATTTTATACAACCTCTGTGATATCGGCGGAATCGTTTAATAATATTTCTAAAAAAGTTACCGCAGGGATAACTGACTAACTGCATCTAAAGCGAACTTGAGCTGGGTTTTTATTGAGACTAATCATAATAATGAGTACATAGATGATCTAAAGAGATGGTAAAAATGCACCCGCCTCCCCTCAACCCCTGCTATCATTTAATAAAATTTGATAAAAAGTTACCAGATTGATAACATACGGTATTGGATTCAAATCAATCTGACGTTTTGAAGGGGGTGAAAATCCCGTTCAAAGATTCCGTTACATAGATACCTTCATACCAAGCTAATAAAAGCAAGTTAAAAAGGAAGACATAGGGTTGAAGCGGTGATGGGGAATCAAATTATTAGGAACTACAAAATATTTCCTGTTTAAAATGGAAATTGACTTGCTTCAACAATGTATTCGTTTTTTAAAAAATTGTTCAAACACAATGCTCCTTCCGCGTATTTTTTTTTGTAACAACACCTATGCTCGGGATACCTGTGTACATCTACCGGTTGGGTTGGTCAAATATTTCAGCGGTAGGTATAGGTACCCACGGTACGTACCAGACAGGTAGCCCCCACTATAAACCTACTATAACGACCGTCAAACTACAAAAGAGAAGTTAAACGTTGGTAGGGATTAGAAAGCGGTAAGTTAAGTGGTACCGTGGTACCACGAAGTGTGTTTCTCGGACTCCATATGTTCGCTCCTTTTCGGCAGAGTAATATTATGTGAACAATAATTTTTCCGGAAGCAACACCCGTAAAATGGGTTCCAAAATTGAGTACGTGGATTCCAGCCAAATTTACGCCACTAGTTACGTAAGGAATTCCAAAGCTGTAGGGGTGTTATGGGCTATATTTACTATTTGTTATGCTGTCATAGGAATCGTGGCCTTCATCACTACGGAATGGATAGGTATGTAATGAGCCCGTTATAGTATGTTTACTTTCTACTTTTCTTAATTAAACTAATATTTAGAATATATTGGAGGCATCGCTCGTTTTTGTTACAAAAATATTCATCTTCAATTGACAATATTATTATATTTTCTAATATAAAACAAATTATAATATTTATTAAAATTTTCTCCGCAAAATCTGCAACTTTTTTTTATATTAAACATTATTTGAATGCTTTTTTCGAGGCTTTTTTATATTTTAATATTTTTTTGTTGCTTCTACCATAATATTTTTAATAAATTGTTGCATGCGAATTTTCATATTTTGGAAGAAATTTTATACTTTTTTTAGATGTCCTATTGTGAAATTTTCTGAATTTTGGATATGGACAAAACCTCAAATTTCTTCTTATAATGTTTGTTATGCTGCTATTTGTATTTAAAAAATAGTTTTTATCCATATATAGGTGACATTTAAGTATATGGATTTACGAAGAGTTTATTCAATTTTTAATAAATGTCTTAAGAGCGCCAATAACCCTTTAACTAAGAAAATAGTTCACCTCGGCCGTGTGATCTTTTTTGGCCTAACCAGAAATTGCTTGGCCTCGGCTAACCCCTCGGTCGCAAATTTCTGATTCAGCCAAAAAAAGATAAATTTTACGGCCTTGGTACACAAATAACTATTTTGTTAACCCGCACAAGTCTAATTCTTAACAAATATTAAGAAACCTAACCATATTAATGTATGACAGTATGATAATTCCTAAAAAATATTCAAAATTCAAAAAATTTGACGGCAATCACTTTAAATATTTTTTAGCAAATTTACTGATAATTAGGTGAGTTTTGTTTCTTATAGGACAGCTTTAGAAGATTTGAAAATTTCTCTTTATAAGTTTTATTTCATTTTCAAAAAGATATAGGTACATACCACATACTTACTCGTACAAATATGACTCTATTTAGTGTTTCTTGTATATTTTTTGTTATCCATGAAATTAGACTAGTAAGCCTGTTTGGATGAACATAAATAAATTAATAAATAAATACACAAATATAAAAACTGATAAATGTCTATTTTTACAACTAATAATATTGTTTCAGGTACAATCAATGGCGATAATCCAGGAAAAATTGGTTTATGGGGCGTATGCTCGCTGGACGAAAATGCTGAACCCTGCAAGGAAAATTTTTGGGAACATTTTATGGACATCTCCAATGAATTCCAGGCTGCTACGGCCTTCGTGGGTCTGGCCGCGGTGACAGGGATTTTGACCGTATTCGCAATGTTATTGTTTTGTTTTTGCCATTCGACGACCGTTTACCACATTTCTGCTTGGCTGCAATTGATCTCGGGTAAGATATAATTTGCAAGTTCATCATCAAATGCATATAAAATAATTTTAAATATTTAAATTAATCCACGAATCAGTGGTACCAGAATTTGTTCACTTATTTTTTGATAAAAATAAAGCTTATAGGTATTCGTTAACATTTTGTTTATATTATTTTCGCTATTTTAAAACAAAATGTAGACTAATCTGAATATTTTTGTTGTACATCTAAAATTCAAACCAATTTCTTTTGATATTTAAACTATAATAATTGAAATATTAGAAATAGATTACATCGTTCTCAATTACGCTTCGCTAGCGGTTCCTGTAAAATAAACATTGAAGTAAAAATTGAATTTGGTAATATCGTGTGATTCTCGAAAAAATCTTATGTGTAATTCGAGCGGAAAGCCATTTGCCGCTCACAATTAATCTCAAGCGGAAAAGTAGCACTTTCTGCTCTTAATTCACAAATAGCTTTTAGCTTATCAAAGCAGTTTATCTATATAAAGGATTCTTATTAAACCTGGTTACATACTTATTCTTTTTATTTTTTTCATTTTGAAGCTCATCCTAGTGTATGATAACAAGCCTTTGTTTCAACGGTACAGCAAATAAGTGATAAAAGTTAGAAGTAGTAATTTTTTTCTAAATGTTTTCAGAATATTTATGAATGAACTTTGAAAATAAAAAACAAGAATGTAATGACGACATTACCGCATATAGAGTACAGACGCATTGTGATGTTAATCTCGAGCAGTTAGTTAACCTTTAAAACATCTTCCCACGTCCACATACCCATGCAATATACTTTTCCAATGGGTGTCTATTGTGTGTATACCTAAACAAATCATTCCGTAATATTTTGTAAAGTGCAAAAGGAATACAGTTGTAAAACAGTACCTGCAGTTGCGGTCTTTTAAAATAATAGTTCCTGTTTTGTACGCAACTTCCTATGTGCGAACTCAAGGTACAATACACCATTAAAATGCAATAAAGATAATTATTGTTATTGTCTTAGTATGTGCTATGTTTATAAAATTTACATTGGGAAAAATCGACATGGCTCACTGATTTTATTGAAAATAAATTAAAGTAGATAATTATACAAGTTTTAAAAGTAATTTTAATGAATCTGCTAAAAAATTAAGAATTTGATGATTTTCTTATGAATCCAATTATCAGATCTTGACCAAATCTATATGGGACCGCCACTGATGTACCCTCTTTCAAACAAAAAGAATCATAGAATCGTATAATCGTAAAATCGTAAAATCGTAGAATCGTAGAATTGTAGAATTGTAGAATCGTAGAATCGTAGAATCGTAGAATCATAGAATCATAGAAATCGGACAACGTGGTAAAGAATTATCGCTAAACATACATAATATAAAAAATTTATTGCGGCGAATTGGGAACGCCCTCCTTTTTTTGAAGTCTGTTAATATAGAACAATTAATTATATTTGGATGTTAATTAACAATACATAAAAATCATACTTGATCCGGGTTCACAAAAATTTTTCATCGTTTTTCGCAATTGTTTAACTAGGTGAAGACGTTTGCAATAAATACTTATAAATTACCTTTTACCTATATCAATACGAAAGTATGTATATAAAGACACTTGTTTACTTACTCTATTAGCTATACATTGGATTTCAAATAAAAATAAAATAAAATGTATAGCTAAATAAATCTTCATGTGAAAAGTGATCTGAACAAACTTTGGCATCTTTCAGTTTTGAGATCTTGCTCATTTATTTTCAAGTTGTTCAGCCACAATGACATTAGACAATGTCTCTCGGAAACGTATATACCATAAAATAGCCAGTTTCTACAATTAGGTATTTTTATATCAAGAAATCAAAAAAACCCTAGCACAGTTGTTACGCCCATGGATATCTACATTATTTACATTTATTTTATGAGATTGATTTTGACATAACCTACCTGTGAAAATAGCAAGCATTGGTTTTGGGTGTTTTTGGTCCAAAATGTTCGGAAAACTATGCATCTCTTTACTATTTTGAAATGTATAATCACGTTTGTAAATAATTTCTTTCATATAAATAAATAAAACAAGAATATTTCACTAAAATAAAACACCGAATGACACTTTTAAAAACATACAGAAACAGGATTGCCAAATGTCCAGTTAAAATATAGTATTTAATGGTTAAACCGATGGATCGTAGTGAACAAAATCTAAAAACATCTAATTTAAACACCGATTCAATGCAGAAGAAAATTAAATGAGAAATTTTATGAATATGATCCAGATTCTTAAATGAACTGCTAAATATTAAGCTCCATATTTAGTATTTCGAACCTTGAAACATTGGGAACTAATAATTATTATCCTACGTTTAACCGAAAGTGACACTGTGGCAACCTCTGCTGGTACCACCGTTTGTTGTGCATGCGATTGTGGACCTTATTATCATACGACAATTGTTTATGTAAACAAGGCGTATCTATTCCAATACATTATCGAATATCTACCCTAATAGTAAAGCAGAAATAAAATGACAATTGGTGAAAGACCTGACAGCTAAATAGTCAAAACAAAGTGACCTTAGCCTGGGTACCGGTGAACGAAAGATATCAGGCATCCACCACCATCAAACTGGATGCAAAAAGCGTCTCAGAGATGGTGGAACTACTATGCAAGATTAAGACAGGCCAAAGAGTTGATTACGGAACCGTCAGCCAAGTTTATGAAAGACCTACTGGATTAAAAACGATAAATCATTACGATAACAGTAGGCATATAAGTGTCATCAATCCAGCAGAAGAAGCAATATTGTGCAGGTTCTGTGAAGAAAAAGAGGAAACATCAATCCACGTCCTGTACCTGTGTGAAATCCTGGCTAGATTGAGGTTTTCAATACTAAGTGAACAAAAGCCAGAAGTAAGTAACTACATACTCTAAATAACGGAATCCCACGATACGAGACTTCAAATCTAAGCTAAAATATAAAAAGTAGTAAAAATAATATGCAGAAAAAGGACAGGAATAGACAAATATCGATTTAGAAAATATATCGCATTAGGAAAAGATTTTACCAAAAAATTAATACTACATATATAGTGGGTACCTAAAATTATATAAGTAACTGTCGTAGAATATATAAACCGTAAATAGAAGATTAGACATACCGCGTATGCATCCAACTTCCCACTTCTCTCACCCACCTTTAAAATTGATTACATCGTAGTATGTCATATGTCACAACAAGCACGGAAGTTGTTTTCACTTCAACTGAACGAATATATTTCATATCCATTCTACCTAGTAAGAACAAAAATAAAATTAATAAAAAATAAAATCCACCAATCACAGTTCATATTTTCGTCACCCAGCAAATACTAATGCTGGGACATCGAAAGCCAACATCGATGCTTTAAAAACATCTATGTTAAACAATGGTATTTAATTTTCTTTCAATGAGATTCGCTTTTCTATTTTTATAATCTCGAAAAGTATCCATTCTATCGAGATAAGTACAAGGATTATAAGTCAAATATCTATCATCCTATGATCAACATCACATTCAAGGTGGCTATGACCACTGACCATAAACTTCTGGTCTATTTGCTCCAGCTGAGGACATTGCTGCAAAAGCGTTAAGAACATTGCTGAGACATATGAATTTCTGTTTTGGTCCCCACATGAATCTGAATATAAAACGACTTTTTACTTTCCTATCTGTATACAAATATAAGGAAAGTATAGGAATCATGATTTTTTTTCGACCTCGAGTTTTCGACGGATTTGTACGTTTTGAGGTCCCCTGAATCCGTTTTGAGTATTTTCGCGATGATGTCTGTGTGTGTGTGTGTCGCATAACTCATGAACCGATACACAGAAAAACACCAAATTTTAAACTTAAGCTTTGTTCCAGCGTCCAATGAGCTGAATATATTTTGAGCAGAGTCGGAACATCTGGGGGGTACTTTATAGGTGGTCATTTTTATATTTTATGGAATATATCTGTTATTTACGTTTGAGGAAGAAAATTCTTCAAATAAAAGTTACTTCTTATATTATTATCTAAAATTTTTGTTCTATACAAAATTTTCTTAAAATGGTCCGTATTCGAGAAATTTGACAAAATGTAAAAAAAATATTTTTTTATCAAAATTGTTCGAACAAAAGTTGTTTGTAATATAATTTTCTATAATTTTTATCCTATACATAATTTCTCTAAAATGGACCGTATTCGAGATATTTGAGAAAATGTGTAAATTTCGAAATTTGAAGAAAACTCAAAAACGGATAAAGAAAAAAACATTAAATTTCGGCCTGACGTAAAATAATTAGATTTTGGACAAAGTCAAAACATCTGGGGGGGGGGGGGTACTTTATGGGAGGCCGTTTTTATATTTTATGGAATAATCTGTTATTTATGTTTGGAGAAAAAATAGTTCAAATAAAAGTTACTTCTAATATTATTATTTATAATTTTTGCTTTATGTCAAAATTTCCTGAAATGGTCCGTATTCGAGAAATTTGACAAAATGTGCAAAATTCTGATTTTTATGAAAATTGTTGAAATAAAAGTTGTTTGCGATATCGATCTCTATAATTTTTGTTCATACATGATTTTTCTAAAATGGATCGTAATGGAAAAATTAGAGGAAAAGTGCGAAATTTAAATTTTTCAGTATTTTCGTTTTCAATGAATATCTATAGAAAAATGTTTCGCGGTAGATGTATGTGGAAAATGTATATATCGCCTAGTGAGAACATTAGTGACCTAACTCCGAAAATGGCGATCTGAGATAATCGCAGTTGAAGTTTGTACGAAAATTAATTTTTTTTTTGGCTATACGTTCGGAACTATCTTACAGATTTTTTTTTTTTTTAATTTTTTAATTTTTTAATTTTTTAATTTTTTAATTTTTTAATTTTTTAATTTTTTAATTTTTTAATTTTTTAATTTTTTAATTTTTTAATTTTTTAATTTTTTAATTTTTTAATTTTTTAATTTTTTAATTTTTTAATTTTTTAATTTTT